CACACTGATGAATTACAAAGAGTGCTTTATAATCATTCTTCTTCAATTCTTTACGCGCAGCCTTTTTCGCCTCCGTTGCGTTCTCCCCAAGCGATGTTACTCCGTCCTTCACAATATCCCAAAGATCTTGATAACAAAAAATTATCTTAATCTACTTGCACCAATTCTCATAATTGTCTTTCTTGAGAATTGGCAGGGTCGCCGGAAAGTTGTCATTCGGATAGTTCATCGCCATCACTATCTTCCTTCCTTGAATCTCTCAATCGGAGCTCTAGATACCAGATGTTGGAAATTTACCTCACACCACATGAAGAATTCCCTTCAATCTTGATCTCAAGATTGATGAACAAACCCACAATATGATAGTAATGGTGATAACGAGTAAAGAGTTATCAAGAACAATAAAAGAGAAGAAGAATAACAAACAAATAGTAAGAAAGAGAAGAATGAGAGAAGAAATATTTGGAGAAAATTGTGTTACCCACAAACTGTGGGATTTCTGATTACTATTGAACTTTCACTTGCTAAACTCTGCAACTGTGAAATCTGTTCTATTTGATTACAAAGCAAGGCACCTCTTTATAGTTTTAGGTTTACAAAAACCCAAAACATAAAAGACCCAAAAATATATAATCTAATCTTTCTAAATCAAATCTGATCTTTCTAAATCAAATCTAATCTTTCTAAAACAATGAATTACATATTTAATAATAAAGTGTATAACATATCTTTAATAACAATTACAATGTTAAGTATAATACTATATACAATGGTTTTGGATCCTCCACCAGCAAAACCTGTTGTTCCTGTCGCTCTAGAAGACTCTGCAGCTCTGATAGATAATCCCTTTGCCCTGATGATTTTAGACAAACCATCTGCATTTGTGCCTCCAGAATCTGCATCTGCAATGGTTATTGACTCTGCTCCTACTCTTGCATCTGACTCTGCTCCTTCTGTCTCTTCTGAAGTTAAGAAAGAGAATCTGGAACTAGAAGACAAGATTGTTGTGCTGGAAGCTGGTCAATCTGAAATTAAATCTTGGATGGAAAAATAAGATGAGAAAACTGACAACATACAGAAGTGGATGGCTAAGCAAGAACAATCTTCATCTGAAATTACCAACCTTCTGAAGATGCTTTTATCTCGACCATCTTAGATCTTGTTTTCTTATCTGATGTTTGTGCACATGATCATATTTGTCTGATGTTTTGGTTTTCTGAATGTACTTTGAATATCTTTTATAAATGGATCTTTTATTTTCATATCTGTTTATATCTTTTTTTTCTGTTATTCCTTTATGTCTTTAAAAGTTTTCTTTTTGATTATGACAAAAAGGGGGGAGAAAAAGAAATTCTGAATGTTCAAATAAACAGTTACTAAAATGGAATTCAGACATAATGGTTATAACTAACATTGAATTTTAATATTTGAGAACTTCAATCTTTCATCTGACAAAATTCATTGAAGGTATCCTGAGAATCCCCAAATCAGAACTAATTCAACCAGACTCTGTTTCTGAAACATTAATTCTAATCAGGCTCTGATTCTGAAACGTTTAATCAGACTCTGACTCTGAAAAGTTTATTCAAACCAGACTCTGAATCTGACAAGAATACTTATGCAAAAAGGGAAGTTTTCTATTCCATTAGAGTATTCATCTCAGGGGGAGATTCTGTATCTCAGGGGGAGTTATATATTTATTTCCATTTATTGAACAAAATTTCCTATGTTTTTGTCATCATCAAAAAGGGGGAGATTGTTAGAACACAGATTGATGTTTAAATATATCTCATTGTTTTGATGATAACACTAATGAAATTTTGTATTAAGAAAATTTATACTCTAATTTTGTTCAAGTGTTTTTGTTTCCGATATTAAAATTGAATATTCTGATAAAGGCAAAAATACATCTGAATGTTCTCTACGCAAGGCTCTAAAGCATCAGAAGCAACTCATCAGAAGATTCTGAGCGCTGCCAGAAGACTCTGAAGCAGAAGCTGCAGAAGACTCTGAAGCAGAAGATGCAGAAGACTCTGAAGCAATAAGTGTAAAAAATTTAAATATATTTTTTTATAAAAACCAACCCAATAACCCGGTTAAACCGTGTGTATTAACCCGCAATCCGTGTTTATCTAGTCCGTCTAAACCGATTGCAGAAATGGACGGAAATGGGCTTACGTATCTAAACCGCGGGTTGAGCTGGGTGTGGCTTTTGAGCCCGAAACCGCCCAACCCGGCCCGTTGTCCAACCCTAGTCTTAACAATAATTTGAATGAGTACTACTTTTAGGACACTATCATCGCAAAAGCAGTTATTGTTCGTAATATGCCAAGTATAGAGCTGTCATCTGTCATACAAGGCCTTACTTTAGCCTTTATACTGTACTATTGTGACTGACCTACTAATCTAAGGATATTTGGACATAAGTAGGATTCTAATCAACAGTTGTGGCTGTCATACAAGGCCATTTATAATTGTACCAGAAATAGCTGGTTGAATTGTTCATGATATGGTTGAACAAGATCTTGAAATTAAGCCACCGTTGGATTTGAATCTGATTCTGAAACTTATTTGCTGGTTATTTTATGTTTCGAATAAATTGTTATTAAGTTTCGTTTTGTTTAATTTATGTTAAGTTTATGTTTATTTGCTATGAATATGGAAGGAGAAGAATTTTCCTTTGATTTATTCAAATGTGTTGTTGACTTAATTGTTATATTTTGCTCAGATTTAGAATCATATTTTACAAATTACATCACTATTTTAGTTGTCTATGAAAGCAATATTAAAGTAATGAATTTGTTTTAATGAATATTTAAATGTGTTATGTATATCTTGCTAGAAAGATATGATGCTTAAAGGGTAAAGGAGAAGTATTATTTGTTCCAAGTATATTCATAGTTGATTTTTCCAAGTAAAGTTTTCACCCTGTTATCTGATGTTTTTTTTTGGTGTTTTCACCGTTTTTGGTTGCGGCATTACAATTGTGATGCCTGTTGCGGTTGCGGCGTTACAAGCATTGTGGTAGCAGCATTACAATTGTGATTGTTATCGTTGCGGCATTACAATCAAAATGTAATGTTTTCTAATCGATTAACAGAACTTAGAAAATCAATATTTCGAAATTTAACTTGGTTAATCGATTAATATATAATTTTTAATCAATTAACTTATTAAAAGAACTCATGAATTGTTTTCTTTTTAGTTAAAAGATTTCTTTTATAAAAGAGAATTCTCCTCATTTTAAAATATACCAGTTAAGAGAGTGAAAAGTTTTATCTAAAAATAGTATTATGATGGTGTTGTGCTAAAAGGTTTTATTCAAAAGAGTTTTCTTGTGATCTTTTTGTAACAAGATTTGAAGGTTGTAAGTTAAATCTGGAAAAAAATTGATTGTAGGTTTTGAGCTAAGTTTAAATAAAAGTTTTAGTTAGGGTTTTTGAAAAGCTGTAATGAAAGTTATTGAGTTGAACATGTATAAAAGCTATTGTTTAGATTTTGATCTAAAATACGTGTAAAAGCTATGTTTGTCTATAGAAGGTTTTTGAACTGATAGTATGTAAAAGCTTAAATTGTTTTAAAATGTTGCTTTGATTGATCATTTGAAATGTTCAAGTTATTTTAAAAGGTTGTTTGCACCAACCCTTTGAAAAACTCAAGTTGTTTTAAAAGGTTGTTTGGATTTATTCTTTGAAAAGTTTAAGTTTGATTTTAGTATAAATCTCAAGGGAAACTATTGTTTAATGTAGTAGGTTAAATGATTAAGCCGAATATGATAATTCTCAATGTGATATTTGTAACTCTTATTTCATTTTCTTCTTTTTATTTATTTATTTTATTTTACTGCTTATTTTTATGTCCTTTCTCTTCTCTATTATTTTGTTGTTCAATTCTATGTTTTTTTTATCTCAAATCATTTTTAATTAAAGAAGTTTCTTTTCTCCTCTTTTGTTTTTGGAGTCGCGTGCTCAACAAGATTGACTCACCAATTGAATGATTAGAATTGAATCAATTTTCAACAAGTACCTAGAGACAGAGCAAACCTCCTAGCCTTGTGTATTTGAGTTTTAAACACAATTGACACAATTCTGTACTATGTTGTTATAAGTACGCATGGATTTTTTCCAGAGCTACTATGAGTGTGTGAATCTTATGACACACATAGGATCTCGTTGGAGATTGTATATTGAATCCAAGCAGACATGAGTGAATCTTGGTGCTTCCAAACTTCAAATTCTTTGGAAATTGAATTCGATTTTGCATATGCAATTATTGCAAATAAAGTATGAATCTTATGGACTTACAAGATAATGGAGTTAGGGTGTTTACAAGTGTTTCTAACAATGTGAAACAACTAGTTACAGGGATTTCCTGTATTAGATAGGCCTACAGTAAACTCTTGTGAGTTTGTTGTTAGTTAGACTATTCTTGGTTTTGAAGATATATTGAGCTTTGAAATGAACATAATAAATAAACTCTTGTGAGTTTGTTGTTAGTTAGACTATTCTTGGTTTTGAAGATATATTGAGCTTTGAAATGAACATAATAAATATAACAAACTCATTCTTCTAAAACTCGCAAAAAACCAAAGTAAATAAAAACTAATCACAAATCTTAAATTCTAGGTAGCGTTATAGTAGAACCCACAAAAAGATAATTTAGAAGCTTAATGAGTCTTAGCATTAAAAAGCTCTTATGAGAGTGGTGCAAAAGATTAAGTGCATCACACTTTGCAAATGGAAGAATCGATTACTAATTCATCTTGCCTAAACATGTCAACTTCATCTTTTACATGGGACCACAAGCCCATTGTCTACTTTCAAGAACACTAAAATTCAAAAGATTCAGTTGCTTTCTTCTGAGTTAAAAAAAAAAAGTCAAACTTAACCACTATGAATCTAGTCAGATGTTTGAAATAGTTTTACATGTACAAAAACTAAAGAACAGAGTGCTGATAAGAATTTTTGACAAGTATGCTATTCTGAGATAAATGCAGGCACTCAATGATGATGGCTGTCTCCTTCATGCTCAGTCTCTTCTGCATCCTCGAATCGCTCATCATCGATTTGAAGCTGCAACCAATCAAACCAAAACTAAATAAGTAAAGCACAAGGAACAAAGTTATACAATCAGGTAAATCACAGTATCATGAATATGTATATCAAATATGATCATATAAAGGGTGGAAGGTTGCAGAGTTAACATAATCAAATTCAAAAGTCACAAGAATATATATATGATAAGAATACTGCATACTGGCTTGTACAAGTATCATGAATGTGTTTATCATGATAAAATATATGATTCACCATTAAGATATTGCTTTGGTGCTCTTATCATTTTCAATAAATATATATTTCTTCAACATCTCAAGATTAACAATTTGGATAAAAGCATGATCCTGGACAGAACATTATGGTGGAAGTTGATCCATGTAGCCGACTCCACTTAGTGGGGATAAGGCTTGGTTGTGGTTGGATATATTTCTTCAACGTGGCAGGTGCTTTACAGCATCATCTTTCCCTTTAAAAAAATCACTACTCCTTAATTAACTAAGAAAATAATATTCTAGTTCAGGATTTCAAAAATCACACATCACATGCCAATCATAGAAAGTGAACAAATGTAGAAGAATAAATATATTAATTAGAGATACGCACTATGATTGTGTTCCATCGGTAGACATCCAAATTATCATAAAGTTGATAATATCAATCAACAAGCATTAGATTGGCAAAAAGATATGAGGCTGATAAGTGATAATTGAACTAGACCCTCTTCATTCCATTCTCCAACACACACCACACCTAAGCACGAAAAAGAACACTAAGGAGGCTTTTGAAGAGTTGAATTGGGCTCATGAAATAGATTATGATATGATCTCAAGCAGTTATCAGTTAATTTTTGCACGCCCTTCAGAATGAAACAGTTTATACAGAGCATGTGGAGTATCCCCTCACTCTGCCTCTGTAAAAACAGCTCCAAAATAAGCAGCTATACGGTAAACACTCAATAAACGCTTAAGTGGGTTGTTTACATGTGTACGATAAAAACTCGTTGAATGAGCTCTTAATCATGTTGTTTAACCAAATTCTCCTTAAATAAAAATGAAATAAATTTATAAAAGTAAAACTAGCAAATGAGAAAGAGCACAACAAAGAACTAGTTTAGAAAAATAAACCAAGCAACCACATAGGAAAATTAGACATATTATATAAATAGACATGTTTAAAGTAACAATCAGTAAATTAGACATATTATACAAATAGACATGTTTAAAGTAACAATCAGTGTCAAGGAATATGGAGAAAAATACACAGCACAAACTTCCAAAGGGATGGGAAGCGCATCAAATCAAAACATCATATTGCCTACAAATATCCTGGGTGTAATGCAGTCAAAGATCGGTGCATTTAGTGCATTCAGCAAAAGGCCACTAGAAAAAGATTAGACAGCTCACATTCCAACATCAAAAATCAGATTTAAAACACAAACTTGGAATTTGAGTTATCCAATCTTTCATTTAGCAGCTCATATTTACTATATATGCAACGAATGCACCATTTTTTTATTAAATCCCGGTGGGTCAATAAATAGATACTAGATATATAATTATAGAGTAGACTGGTAGAGAACCGTACCTCAAGTATATTATGAGCAAGGTCCTGATGTCCATTTGAATGACCAAGAGTATTGGTTGGATTATGAGATAAATAATCTTCATCCTCTGAAAAAGAATAGATTTTGACAATGATATACTAACAAATAAAGACCAAAAAAAGAACAATCAAATGAATGATTAAGAAATGAGATCAAATCCCAGTCACACATGCCTGCTCCTGCATCTTCCATCTGATCAGCACTGAAAATCCAATCATGATGTTCTTCTTCTTGCTCCTCTACAAGAATTAAATCAGCATAAATAACTCACAAAAAGGGGAAATTGGATAGCATAATGGTATGTGGAACAAAAAAAAACAACACTGACCATTATTTGGATCTGGGTTAAGCTCAGCACACTCGCAGAATACTTGAAATAGAGAATCCACTGGAATACAACAAAAACAAATGGTGAAAAGCATGTTACAAAATCATGTGAGGCAATAACTTTCTATGCCATTCTGTTTGGTTTCTATCTAGTTAGGGATTTATTCATTAGTCGTTGTTAGTTAGTTAGTTTTGTATAAATAACTCTTGTACCCTCTCATTTCAGTATTTTTTTCAATATGAAACCCCAGTCCAATAACTCTTGTATTAAACACTTTGTGCACACAGTATTTCTGTATAAATAACTATTGTACACACACTGGCACGCACTTTTTTTTATTCCTGGCACCTAACCTAACATCATTCATGTACGGAATTGGAGAAGAACAAGAATATCATACACTGAGTTGGATCAGATGGAATGAGCCTCATCTCTCTAACAATGGATAAGTCATGAACACGAGTGGATTCTTCTGAATCTGAGTTGTCAGAATTGAGATCCTCGTCTGCTTCTGTTTCAATCTAAACCAAGTAATGAGAATCAGAAAATTGAATGAGAAAGAGAAAGAGAAGTAAATAAAACACATAGATCTATATTATTTATGAGACTAACCTTTAAAATACCAAAAGTAGGTCAAATTAGTATTTTTGGTATAACAGTGTTTATGAACATTTAAAACTAATTATTTTGGAGTTTATGACACTTCTGTGACTCCACATAATATCCCCAAAATTTTGATCCTTTTGGTCATCTATGTGACTAATTTCCACTAAAGTGCTAGGTCGCAGCAGCTTCGATCATCTATGCCTCTTTCCAAGAATACAGCTGTTCGTGGTACAACTCAGTCAGAAAACCAAACCGAACCATAGTAAAAGGCCACTCGAACCAAACCATTCCAATTTATGTAGAACCGAACCAAAATTATTGGTTGGTATACTAGTACAAAATTCTGAATTATACCAAACCATCAGAATACAACTTTTCCCATATCAAACCATTAGTTAAAGAACCAAACCGTTATAATTTTCTCGAATTCTTTTTAAATTGTTTTTAGCATTTCTCATTTTCGTTTTCTGTTCGATTTATATGCCAATTGGTCAAGTTCTATAACTGTTTGTGCAACACGGTCCAGGTTACTAACCAAACATAACGGTTTGATTATTTTAACTATAGTTCGGATCCATGAGTATGTTATGAGGAGATGGAACCCCAGTCCTCCCCACACCACAAACTCACCCCTGGTTAACCAACTGAGTTACATTCATTGTGTATTTCAAGACTAATTTAACCTACACTACACATTATTAAATAACAAATTGATTTCCTCAAACACTAAACTAGATCAATTCGAGCATACTCCATAAAAATAAAGAGAAAAAGCTTGGTTATAACTTATAAACACCTGAGTATAGAGACATGGAACAGAGTAAGCCTCAGGATCTCTAGAAATGGCATGAAGAGAAATCGACAAGAAATCAACAGCGTATCCTTTAGACCTATCAGCATCACTAACCCATATCACTTGCCTGTGAAACCAAGAACAACACGAATAAACAACCGCAAGAATTGTGATTTACGAATCAGAATGAATGAGTGTTGATTGTATCAGAATTATACTTACTTTGTTGTAATGTAAAGAGTGCCGGGTGATTCGCGAGGAAGATTGGCGAGGGCTATGTCGACGCCGGGTTGAACACGCATCAATTCTTCGCCATTCTCTCTGTCGATTGCAGATTCTCCGGTTACCGATCGTAACCCTAATGCCATTTCTTGTTCTCTTTCACTGTTCTTTCTTTGCTCGAATTCGGTGACTCAGGTAGACCTTGGAGTCTAGGGTTTTTCAGGGGTTTTGGTTATGATGACGGGAGAAAGTGTGATTCTTCCGATCAAATATAGTATAATGAATTTTTTATTTTTTTTAAGAAATTTACATTTAGTTTAACTATTTAATTTCTTTTTTGGTACGCTTGGAAAATTTTAACTATTTTTAAGGTGAAAAATAGAGAAAAGAAATATATTGTATATTTTTAAAGTATTGTGATAAATAGTATTTTTAATTAAATCAATTTATTTTTTCAATTTAAATTTAATTAGTTAACTAATTACATTTTATATTAAAAGATTAATTATTTTTATAGTTTGTTTTTAAGATATATTATAATTTGTATTTAATATATTTTATTTCAATATTCAATAAATTTAATTTATTTTAGACAAAATTATAACTTTGATTTCTCCATTTTTATCTGATTACAAAATTAGATCTTTTATTTTATGTTTTTTATTTGAGTTTCATTCAAAGTAAAATTTTCAAGTGCCTTTAAAGTCATAAAAATTTGAGATTTTACATGTTTGATTCAAATCATGGAGTTTACATGCATTTTATGATTCTGATCAAATTGGACAGAGATAAAACTGGATCATATGATTCGAATCATTTTTTACATTTGATTCAAATTATTTTCCTGATGTCCAATTTTGTTTGATTTATTTCGAATCAAATTTTAAACGAGATTCAAATCACATATTTTTTCAACATTTTTCTGTCAGAACTGTGACATTTGATCTGAATTAATTTTTGTATTTGATTTGAATCGCGTGGCTTATGGATGTTGAAACGAGCTAACTCGTATGGACAGACTCGTCAGACCCGAAAAATCATAGGGTTTGTCTCTTAAAGTTATAGCCCATACCCGCTACTCATTTGGGATAACCCGTATGAACCGTGGGTAGTCCATTAGGCTCGTATAGCTATAATTTTTTTAAAATATATATTAATACTTATATTGTCTTACTAAAAAATAACGCATTGATTTTCTCATCTCACCAATTTTTACCTCTATTACATTCGGTCTTTCTCTTTTAAATTTTATACATTAACTATATTGAGATTCGCGCGATACGCGGGTTGAAATGAGTTTTTTAGACGGTATAATAAAATATAGATTTTAATTTTGTTTATTATAATTTTTTTTGTAATTGAGACGATAAGACGAAGATGACAAAAAGAGAGTAAAATTTTAAATGAAAAGAAATATGTTTGAATAATAGAAATGCAAATAACAAATCGCAAATTAATTTTAAAATGTGAAATAAGTGTAAAAAATTTCAATATTTTTTTTATATTTCATTTGATTTTCCTCAAACGTCTCTAAGAATGTTTTTCTTTAATATTTTATGGATGGAAGACGTTTCACATTCAAACGGCTCACAATGTATATAATCATGTATGACAATAAACACTAAAATCTTAGATGAAGCTCTCTATTTTGCACTGAACTTGTAGTATAAAAGTTAGTGAGTATAATTATTGAATAATTTTTTATCGATTGCGCTATGATTGTTGAATGATTTTGATTATGTTTATTATACATTTTTAGTAATTGAGACACTAAGATGAAAATGATAAAAAGAGAGTAAAATTTTAAATTAAAAGAAATATGTTTGAATCATAAAAATGTAAATAATACATTGCAATTTAATTTTAAAATGTAAAATAAGTGTAAAAAATTTAAATATATTTTTTTATGTTTCTTTTTTTTCTCTAACATCTCTAGGAATGTTTGTTCATCATTATTTCATGGATGGAAGGCGTTTCACATTCAAAAGGCTCACACTCTATCTAATCATGTAAGACAATTAATACTAAAATCTTAAACGAAGCTCTCTATTTTCCCCTAAATTTGTAGTATAAAAGTTAGTAAGCATGGTTGTTGAATGAATTTCTATAAGTTGCACTATGATTGGAGAATTTAAATATGCACGGTGTTTTTTTATTATTTGTTTTTTGTTTATTATATCATTAATTTGCAACAATTACAATTGATTTAATTCAATTGAATTAGCTCTTTGATTTCAATCGATTGCCATTTATCAATACATTATAAGATATTTTATGTAAAGAATTAAAAATGATAGATAAAATTTATAATATAATTTTGTAATGTTTATCTACAATTATATTTTAAAATAATATTTTTGAATTTTTTCGACATAATTTTTTTTCGAGTTATCTAAAAATTGATTAATTTAAAAAAAATTCATGATATAATTCAGATCTCATAGCATTTTTATCGAGTTATTTGAAAATTGATTAATTTAGCTGTTTTATCAAGTTATTTGAAAATTGATTAATTTAGTTGTTTTATCAAGTTATTTGAAAACTGATTAATTTAATTTTTTTATCGAGTTATTTGAAAATTGATTAATTTAGTTTTTTTTTATAGAGAATAAGCATGCATAATAGAAAATAGAATGAAAGTTTAATAGTTTGAATTTTGATTAATGGTGAATATATAATTTGTGTGTATATGTAACTTATAATAATATGTGTATGTAACTTAAAATTTAGTGTTTTGATTAATTTAATTTTTTATTGAATTATTCGAAAATTGATTAATTTAGTTTTTTTTTAATAGAGAATAAGTATGCGTAATAAAAAATAGAATGAAAGTTTAATAGTTTGAGTTTTGATTATTGGTGAATATATAATTTGTGCATGTATGTAACTTATAATAGTATGTGTTTTGATGTATCATTATATATGAAATAGAGATGTAAAGAAAATAAATCAATGGATATAATAGATTTTAAGTTAGAGGAATAAAAGGAGATGATTTATGGAATATCAAAATAGAAATCTTTTAATTAAATGAGATTTATATCTAAAATGTTGCACTTATTTCTACAATGAATAAGAGAAGATTTAAAATATTGTGTTTTGAAGAGTGTCCTATCAGATTTTTAATGATTGGCAAATTAGAAGAATGAGTTGTTAACAAACTAATTTGTGGCTCATATTTAATATATTATAATTAATATTTTTTCTTGTATTATATTAGTTTCTCTTATATTAAATATTCGGGTGTTATTTTATACAATTTAGGCATGTGTTACATTTAAAAACACATTATAGTATTTATAAAAGATGATATGTTATTTAAAAATGCATTATGTTTAATATAATATAATATTTTATTTTATTTATAATAAATAGTATGAGATTTTTATTTTTATTTCTTATTTCTAAAAAGCTCATTTAAGGTCGGGTAGCCTGAAGCCCATCTAAGACCGGACTCGGGTAGTAATTTTCGAGCCCATATTACAACAGGGGTTTTTTTGTCCAACCCTAAAAAGCCCGAGGCCTGCCAGGATCGACCCATTTAGGATCGGATAGCCCATTTTGACAGCTCTAATGTGGCTCATGATTCGAAACACTTTTTCCATTAATTTGAATCAACAAACAGATTTTCAAAATTCTATTTTCCTTTTATTCCACTACACTTCCTCATTTGATTCAAATCATAGACTGCTCTTAATTCAAATCTATCATTCTAATTATAATCTTCTGTGTGGTTTTAGTGAAAAATCAATTTCTTCTATTTTAGTGTTCAAAGTCTTGCAACGACGTTCTTGCATCTTCAACTTATTTTGGTTCAGATCTTGATAACATAATATTTGTAATTGATTGAAGGAGGTGTGTCCTTAAAAATAATCGTTTTTGGAAATCTTATTGGTTTTTTCAGGTTGTTAGTAAGATTGAGGTGATTGTCAATGATGGTGACAAATTTCATTGAAAAGAAGTAGGTTATTCTCTTCAAAATTGTCTTAGTAGTGATTGTATGAAAGGCTACAAATAAGGCGGAGTTATTCTTAGATCTTTGGACAATACACCGCTAAAATAATTAGTAGGATCAAGAGGTTGATAGTTACACACAAAAGCTTAGAGCATAATTGGTGATATTGGAATATATAAGAAACGTAATTCGTGTAAAGATTAAGTATAAGAGTTTGACAATTGTATTGTATACAAGTCAAGACCCAAATAGGAGATTTATTTTCTCTGTTGTATTGTGGATTGGTGAATGTGTGAACTCTTGAAAATATTTGTCAAATAACAAGGAACTATGTAGGTTCCAATGGAAAACCATTGAAGAGTGCATGTAGGCAAAGCGATGACAAATGTCGAAGCACTATAAATCTCGGTGTTATCTCTCTCTCTTGCATTTAATTTTATAGTATTTGCATGCTTAGGTTTTTCAATTCCAATGTAGCTTGTGGTTTGTTCATTGATAACGGTTTATTACGTAAGCATTAGGTTTTGCTGGAATTGGATAATTTGTTGAGCTAGATTGATGATTAAAGTTTTATGAAACAAATTTATCTTAGAACGTCATATTTTTGTCTACTATTATAATATATGTAATTTGTTGTTATCTTTTTTTACAAAATTTGTTATTGGCCAACTCAAGCAAAGTCAATAAAATTTAGAATTGATCATTGGAGAACTTTAGTTCATTATCCCATTAAGGTTTATGTAGATTTAAAAGTAGATAAAATTAATTGGAAATAGGATGTGGACTTTGTGACTTATATTGAGATAATGAAAGTAGTCGACATTTTGGGTTATTTAAACATTAATTGTGTCTGGTTTCTTCATCAAAAATTGTTTTTAATCATGACTTAGGACTCTATATTAAGCATATTATAGATGAATATGTTTTTGTTAGATAATATGAATTGAAGGAGTATATTAAACATGAACCTATACATATTGATTTAGATGATGAGGTGGAAGTTGGGAATGTGCATGATGAACATATGGAAAATGTGGAGGTTGGGCATAGTGAAAATATGTAGGCTCATAAAGTGAGAATGTGTAGGCTAAGTAGAATTAAAATGGCCAGGTTGAGTATATGGGAAACATTCATCATGATGATGTGTAGGTTGATATGAAAGAAAATGTTGAGGCTTAGGATAATGAATTA